GCCCCGCTTCCGGTCTGATGGCGTCACTTCCTTGCGCGAAGCGCACCACTTCCGGCGCCCGGGCCTCGTTGCTGGGGCTACCGCGCGCGCGCGCTTTATTCTCCGGGAAGCGCTTCCGGAGTCAAAGTGACGGAGGGAGCGGAGTCAACTTCCGTTTCCAGAGCGGAACTTCCAGGCGCGCGCTCCCAGCTGACTTCCGGCGAAGGGCCGCCACCCGGAAGTGGCAGCGGACGCGTCTATTTCCGCCGGCTCTGTCGGGCGGAGGGTGAAGTGGGGGAGGGGGGCTCGGTGACCTTTGACCCCTGAGGGGCGGGACCCGCAGCGCCCGCCATGAGGCCGGCGGAGAAGGCGCCGCGCTACGAGGCCTTCGTCAGCGACGTGCTGCAGCGAGACCTGTGGTGAGTCCCGGCCCCGCCCCCTCCGAAGGCTCGGTCTTGGCCCCGCCCCTCCGAACGCTCGGTCCTGGCCCCGCCGCGGGGCCCCGCCCCCTCCGAATGCTCGGTCCTGGCCCCGCCCCCTTGCCCCGCCGGGCCTCGGCCCCGCTCCGACTTCTCGGCCCCGCCCTCACTGACTGCTTTGCATCGGCCCCTGGTCCCCATATGGCCCCGCCCCCAATGTCCTGGCCCCGCCCCTAGTCTGACAGGCCCCGCCCCCAACGAGCGTTCAGCCACGCCCCCATGGACACCCCCCCTCTGCTTCAGGACACCTGCCCCCGCCCCCCCCCCCCGCGCCCGATCCCCCCCATGGCCTCCCCCCCCCTCCGTCCGCTCTGGGACCGAGTCAGCCTGGATCCCCCCCGGGCGCCTCCCACCCCCCCCACCCTGCTCCCCGCCCCACGGCGCCCCCCAGCGCCCGGCCCTGACTGCCAGGGGAGAGCGCCCCCCCGCCCCGCCCCCGGCCCAGCCCCTCACTGGCTTGTCTGGCCTGATGCGGATCTGTCAGCCGGGCTCGGGGCTCCCGCGCTCCCCGCGCCCCGTTTCCTCCTCGGCGAGATGTGCCGGACCTTGGGGCACGTGGGCGGCGCCCCCCGCTTGTCCCCACCTGGGCTAACGCGTGGGGCGCCCAGAGCCCGACACGTCCCCCTGGTGCCGAGCAGAGCGGGGCGCCCCCCGGCCCCCGGTCCCCCCCCACCCGGACAGTCGCCTTTTCTGCTGAGGTCC